CCGACGCCCAGCGCGGGCCCCGATGCCCTCCTGCCGAGAACCCTCCCCCGCCCCGACACTGACCTGTCCAGGGCCCGGCTGGGCCTGGCCGGGCGGGGCCTACGCAGCCCCTCGGCCGGGCGCCGCCTCGCGCGGGGTCCCGGGCCCGGGCGGGCCGCCTCCTCTCCGCCGGGAGCCTCCGAGCCGGGGCCAGGGGCTGCCGCGGCGCATCCGAACGCACCGGCCGGGCCGGCGTCAACAAAGGGCGGCGGGGACGCGAGGCCGGGGCGGGGGCGCGGGCGGCGGCTGGGATTGCGCGCGCGCGGCGGGCGCTCGAGGGCTGCAGCCGCCGCGGAGACAATGCGACGCGTCCGGGACGGCTCCCGCGGCCGCCTCCGCCGGGGGCGGGGCCGGCGCGCGGGGCGGGGCTGGCGCGCGGGGCGGGGCCAGGGCGCGGGGCGGGGCCGGCGTGGACGCGGGTCCGCGCGCTTCCTTTGTGCCGCCGAGCCCCGCCCGCGCCGTCGCCGGGGCTCTGCCGGGCCCGGGGCGCGACAGCCGGAGTTTCGGTTTCAGGGAGGCAGGCGGTGGGCCGCGAGCACGGCCGCCGTGACCGGTCTGCGAAGCGCCCCAGTGGCGGGGCGGCCTGCGAGTCCCGCTACGACCGTCGAGTGTGTAGGGCCTGGGTGGGGGGTAATGGTGATAGAGACCACCAGGCATGAAGGGCCGAGGTGCGGCACGGCCTGTGCTGTGCGCACGCAGCCTCCCTGGCTGTTCACCGTAATTCTCCCCACCAGGGACTAAGGGCTCCGGCCACAGCTCCAGACAGCTGGTCGGCCCCGCGGCCCGCCGCGAAGGTTACCCGAGGAAGTTGCTGCCCGCAAAACGCAGCCCGAGCCCGGGAAGCATCAGCGCTCGTCCCGGAACGCACCGGGCTCAGGGCTCGTCAGGGAGCGCGCTGGGCTGTGGACGCCAGGGCGTGCTGCGCGGGGCTGCACGCACACGGGGCCGGCTGGCACACAGGGCTCGCTGGCCCTTCTTGACCTCTCCTTTCCCAGCGTCCCTGTTCTCTGGACTTTTCTACCGTCCCAACTTCCTTCTCTGTCGCTCCTTTTCCTTTGCAAGGCCTCGTCCCCTTCCTCTTGTTTCCCGGCTTTACATTACTTTAAAAAATGTTTTTGACATTTATTTATTTGAGAGACAGCTCTCGACTGCTCCACAAATGCATGCACAAAAGGCAGGAGCTGGGAAGACAATCCAGGGTCGCCTACGGGGGTGGCAGGAACGCACCTGCTAGCTGTCAGGGCCACCTTCCAAGGTCCACACTAAAGGAAGGTGGAGCCAAGAGCCAGGGATGGAAACCTAAGCCAGGCGCTGCTATGCGGCATCCTAACCTGGGAACCTAACCCGGGCACTCGAAGGTGTCCTAGCCTGGGAACCTAACCCAGGCACTGCTAGGCTGGATGCAGGCATCCTAACCTGGGAGCCTAACCCGGGCATGCTAGGCTGGACGCAGGCATCCTAACCTGGGAACCTAACCCAGGCACTGCTAGGTGGGATGCAGGTGTCCTTAACCTGGGAGCCTAACCCAGGCATGCTAGGCTGGATGCAGGCATCCTAACCTGGGATCCTAACCCGGGCATGCTAGGCTGGATGCAGGCATCCTAACCTGGGAACCTAACCCGAGCACGGCTAGGCGGGATGCAGGCATCCTAACCAGTCCCTTAAACTCGAGGCCAGATGCCTGCCCCACACTACTTGATACTCTCAGACTGCTTATTTCTCTCTCTTTTTCCCATGCCTTTCTTTCCCCTCCACTGTTTTGCAAGCCCCTTTTTCATTAATGTGCACATCCTCTGCCTGCCTCGCTTTCCCCAGCCCTTCTGGGAAAGCTCCCCCCCCACCTCAAGGTCCAGACTCACAAGAGCAGCGGGCAGCGTTGCCCAGATTGGGACAGACAGGAAGCGCTGTGGCCTCTGCATGCCACACAGGCGCTCGGCTGAGCCGCCGCACGCGGTGTGGACGTGTGCGAGTGTGGCCGTGGCCCAGTGGAACTTTGTGGACAGCTGGAATTTCACCTACTTTTCACAGCTCACGAAACTGTGTTCTTATAACTTGGGAAAGATGTTTCAGCGACCCTTCTCGGCTGTGGACGGTGCAGACCCGGCCAAGCGATGGATGCAGCCGCGGCCCGCCACTTCCTCCCGGCAGTAGACTAACGTCAGCTGTCGGCCGCGGCTCTTGCTTTTCGTCCTCCAACGCGCGTACCTCGAGCCCTTCCGGGACGCCCCACATTTCAGTTTGGGTGGTCCCTTGCCCCTGTGCGTGGAGGCAGGCAGGGGACAGACCCCGCTTCCTGGGGAACCGCCTGGCGTCCACGGCGCTTTGTCTGCGGTGGGCGATTGCACGTGCGCAGGGTGGGCCGCAGAGCCCTTTGCAGCGGCCTCTGCTGCCAGGCGCTGACCGGTCCAAGAGCTGGGCCCTTGGGAGCGCAACTGATTTCAGAGAAAGAGGGGCTGATGGCCTCCCGGACACGATGGAGAGAGGCAGGCGGCTGGCAGCAACTCAGGGCTTGTTGGGTGACAGATACTTCAACCCTAAGTGCTGCTCCCCACCAGCGTGGACACGACGTGTGTCCTCGCGTGGGTCCTGGAGGAAACGTCTGTCACCAAATCGGTGGAGGAGGGAAGTTGGAGAGGGCAGAGTTAAGCAGAGGAGTCCGGAGAACAGTATCCAGATATGGAAGATCCCTGCCTCACCACTTTCTTATCTTTAAGATGCGAATAAAAAGGGGCTGGAGTTCTGGTGCAGCCGGTTAAGCCATCACGTGGTATGCTGGCATTCCAAATGAGTACCAAGAGTTCCGGCTACTTCACTTCTGATCCAACTCCCTGCTGATGCTCCCGGGAAAGCAGGGGAGATGGCCCAAGTGCTTGTAGGAGACCTGGGTGGCCACTTGGGGAGTGCACCAACGGATGGTCTCTCCCTCTCTAACTCTGCCTTTCAAGTGAATAAATCTAAAATTTTTTTTAAATGGTGGGACTCCCAGCCATTGCGGCCATTTGGGGAGTGAACCATCAGATGGCAGACCTCTCTCTCTATTGCTCCCTCTCTCTGTCTGTAACTCTGCCTCTCAAATAAATAAATAAGATATTTAAAACATGGGGGGGAAAAGTATGTAAATCCTGGCAGAGAGGGCTCAGTAACTGTTAGTTATTCTATTTTCTGGGCTAGAACTTTGGGCTAAATTCAGAAGATAACATTTAACAGATTATAATTAATTATAGTTTGGTTCTAAGCATAAATCTGAGACTGAGGAGACCTGGCATAAGAGTTCATATAAAAGGAAACCTCAAAAACAAACTGAACCCAGGCCGCTGGAATTCAGATGACACAGCACCCGACCCGGTGTCACCCCTATGGGGTCAGAGGAGTTGATGTGGAGCCACTGGGGCAGCGCTTGGGCAAGGGAGGGGAAGTGCTGCCCTTTCACACGGGGTGGCCCAGAGCCTCTTCGCGGTTTTGTTTTGTCCTCTGAGGAGTGGGCACTAGAACATTTGCCTCTCAGGGGCATTACGAGTGAGCCCACGTCTCAGGGTGGTGCCCAGTACATAGTAGGTGTTCAACAAAGTCTAATTCCTTCCTGCTGTACCAGAGGGATTTCAGAAACAGTCCTGCCTATGCCTTAAATAGGCAATAAAGACAAGTGGCTTTTTATATTTGATACCGGTTTGCTTAATTTGGGGATCACACTTTGAGAGAATTAATGAACAGCCAATCATGACCAGGATGGTGGTCCTGACGGATGTTGGTAAAAAAGGAAAACTGGAGGATCTTTAGCTTGATGCCTGTCTGTCTGTCTGTCTGTCTCTCTCTCCCTCTACCCCTCTCCCTCCCTCTCTGAATGGGTGAGCAAGAGACCTCCTAACTGTGTGTAAGCACTCTGAGGCACACACTGCTACAACTAACTGGAAGGACAGAATCACGACCAGCGGTGGCAAGTTCCAGGAGAGTAGGTTTCGGTGAAATCCCAAGAGCGACTTTCTGACAACCAGGGCAGCGCCCAGCACAGAAGGCTGCTTCCCAAGCTGGGCCCGCGTGTCACTGCCAGCATGCAGAGGCCACGGATGGCCTTCAGCCCGTCCTTTAATTTTTCGAGCATATTTTCTCCATATTTGTTTGCTTTCCTTTTTCTTGATCCCACCCCCTCCTCTTTATCGGACCTGTCTACCCTTGTTGCCCTACCATTTTCCAAAGTATTTTCTACGCATTTTTCCATCTTCAGTTTCCACACTGTTTCTGTCTTGGCTCTTCCTCCCCCCCTTCCTCCCCCCAGAGCTGCCGGCCATCCACGGCGCAGAATGTCACCGAGATCTGGGCCAGGACCGCTGTGCACACTGGCAGAGAGGGGAAGGAAGGCAAATGGGTGGCTGCAGAAGGCGGGGCTACCACTGTGACTCTCCCAGCAGGGTGGAGGGAGGCAGCAGAGTCTCGGGCCCTGGACCGGGCCCTCCCAGGCAGGTGACCTGGCATCCCAGGGTGGAACACAGTCCCATCAAAGGTGCCTTCTGTGAGCTGAACTTGCTCTGAATCCTCTTCTGGCTTCCCCTGGGCATTCCCTTATCCTTGAGATTTGGGAGCCATCTTGTTGTATTTCCCACGGCTAGGACTCCCGCTGACAGTGAATGAGGCAGGGCATCACAGCAACCGCATGCCCGCCTCCACTCCCCGAGTGCCCAGTGGATACCCATCTGATGCCAATGACCGTGGGCCTCCGAGTCCGCCTCTGCCATCATCTCTACTGTTCTTGTTCTGCTCTTTGACTCGTGCGTCTTTGGGTCCTCCCTGCTCACCCCTGCTCACCCCTGCTCACCTCATTCCCATCCGTTCCAGGCTTCCTTCTGGCTTCCTTGGGCTTGCAATGGCTGACCCTCCCATTCTAGATACCCCAAGAAAACGTGCCAGGGGTTGGCAAGGAAGGCCGACTTCCTCCCCTCTCCCCAGGGCCCCGCTCTGCTTCCTACCGTGAACTGGGGACTGCTGGACGTTAGGGCTCTTGGGTACAGGCAGGCCGCCAGGCACGGCAGTGACAATGGCTTGCTGATGCGGGGAGAGGCCAGGCCGCGACTCAGGCCCACTCTTCTCCCCAGGCGCCGCGTCTTTCCAGGCATCAGGGGCACACTGCTGGGGCTGTGGGGACAGAGAGAGATGGTCTTCCCACACACTGCCTCGATGCCCTTGGAGCTTGGGTGGAAGTCCAGGAAAGGGGAGCACTTCTCGTCTTTCTTAGAATGTCCAGGGATGACTTCCCCCACTCAGCCTGCCCAGGCACTCCTGCGGACAGGGGCTGTGGGACTGCCTGAACCAGGGCCTCCCCGTCTGCTCCTGGACCCCTGGGCCTGCTTACTCACCACTGGTGAAGCGGGCTGTAGTTGCAGGATGACAGCTGACGCGTGCTGGAACCTGCGCTGAGGAGTGTGTGACACGCCCTCAGGATGTCCATTCTGAGGCCCGGCATCTGCTGTGGGAGGGTGGCATTGCTGACTGCTGCCGGCCTTGTGCAGGTTGGCAGTGGGGCACTGGAGGGGCAGGGTAGGGGTCACGGGCCCTAGCGGCACAGCATGGGCTTCAGAGCTGGGCTGCAGGGCCAAGCTTGGTGGGACCGAGGCGAGCTGGGGTTGGGCCTGGGCTTGGAGCACAGGCCGTGCTTGCTGGCTGTGCTGTGGCTGCTGTGGCGGGGACGGCTGCTGCTGCTGCGTCACAAACTGGGGCTGGAGGTGCTTGGAAGATGACTGTGGGAGGATCTGGTGGGGCTGGAGTTGGGCATAAGCTGAAAGGAGAAAGACGGGGTTAGACAACGCGGCGGGACCCCTGCTCCGCTGTGCCCCAGCTTTCCCCCTCCCACAACCAGATTAAAAACTAAAAGCGACCTCCCGAACCCATTGTGTCAACTCTCGTCCCCTTCCTCTTGCACCACGAGCTGGGCCTGCTCTCTTCTTGCGTTTCACCCCTGCCGAAGCACTGGGCTCTCTGGGCTGCTCCTCAAAACCCAGCTCAAAGCCCACCTCCCCAGAAGCCACTTTGGACCGTTCTGGCTATGTGGGACACACTGGGGAGTGTCCCCACTCCCCCCACCCCCGCCCAGCTTTCACTTGCTGTCCCTGTGCCTGCAGACTCTGATGCTTCCCGCCAGTGCTGTGCGGCTGGTCCCTGTCCACCTTCTGGCTCTGCTCAGGCTGGGCTCCTGCGGGCAGAGCCAGCAGACACAGCAGCCCCCAGGCCCCGGCATCAGGCAGACTAGAGCTGCACTACTGTTTTCTTTTTGCTACAAACGGTGGAACCAGGTCCTTGCTATTTAACCTCTCTGGGCCTCAGCTTCCGGAAACTGAACACTGAAAAGAAAGAGAGTTTCTGCCTAGAAAGCTGCTGTAGAGATGAAAGGAGGCCAAACTGTGAGGATGAAACGAGAGGCACTGATACACCGTGCACAGCACACCACGCTTAGTCATTTCCAGCTAGAATTACAACCATTATTTCAGTCTTCGCTTAGCTGCCCAAAGTCTCCTGGGTGTACCTGTTTTGTGAGTGTTCATCACACTGGGGGATACTTTCTTATCAGTCCCCTTTTCCAGCCCATGAGTCCTCACAGTCAAAAATGACCATGGATCTCTCTTCCCAGAGCCTACTTCACTGCCTGCTAGCAAATGCTTTTACTCATGGCAAACTGTCCTGATCTGGAATTTATTTGCTGTCATGTGCTGCTGGTTTGTTCTTCCATTTCTAACCCAGTTGACTCCCTGAGGTGAGGATTCGTATATATTTTTAGGCATCCCTTCAGCCTCTGGCTTGCATCCTGAATACAGTAAAGATGCAGGGCGTTCAGCTCAGCCATCGCTTGTCCTCAGGCAGGTCACCGTGTCCGGCGGCATGCAGGTCAGCTGAGGATGAGGCCAGCGCTGCACAATCTTTCCTGCCTGCAGCTGCCCCTGCAGAACCTCTGGCCACTGCAGAGCCAGGGGAACAGAAAGTCCATAGATCAAAACCTCAAGACATGTTGGGGAATGTACCCCATTAACCATTTGAGGTTAATAAAAAGGAAAGAGTATGATTCAATTGCAGTATTGTTTGGGGGCCACATAATCCACTTGCTCCAAGTACTGCGGTAACTTTCTGTCTGGGCTCCCTAACTTCTCGCTGTAATCCATCCTACAGATGCAGTGCACAGATCGGACCTCTGACCAGGAACGCTCAGGGCCTCTCCTTTGCTTAGCGCAGCCCACAGCCGCTGGCATTCCAGATCTCTTTACAGCATAAACTCCCTTTTCACTTTCATCGCTTCTTTGACCTACACAGTCTTGATTGCTTGCAGAGCTCTGTACAGTTCGTGCCTGGGCTCCTTCTGTCTGGGGTGCCACAGATCAACTCCGAGTCTCCCTTCTGGGACCCTTACAGCCAACAGGACTTGTCCTTGTCCCAAGCTGCCCTGCCCTGCACTTCCCTGCCCTTGGATGCGAAATGCTCCCAGCAGCAGAGCTGGGGCCTGGGGGTCGCAATGCTTCAATCCGAACCCTAGTATTGTCGCTTGCTGGCTGTGTGGCCTGGGGAAGGGACTTGACGTCTCTGCTCCTGTGTCATCATCTTTAGGGTGAGGGTAGGGATGATCCCTATCTCACCATTATTTCAGAAAATCACTTGTTTTCTTTAGGAAGCAAGTTTTGTCATTTGTTCCCTCCAAGGTACCAGTGTTGCTCAACGAATGGACGACCATGCAGTGGGATTCCCCTCGGGGGATTCATTGGTCCCACGGGTGAGATGGGGGTCATCCCACAGGCCGCGATGATCTCGCTAACATTCTGGATTGCTGAAGACCCTGCACCTGGCCAAGCCCTGCTCACCACCACCACCCCTCCCCGCACTGGTGTCAGCCCCGCCTTGCTGATCTCCCTGCTGTTCTGCTCGACCTCATGTGTCTGTGTGCCTTTTTGGCTTCAGGTTCAGGGCTTCCACTTTCAGGAATGTCCTCCTTTCGCTTCGATGATTTCGAGTTTAATCCTTTGGCCGGGGTTCAGTTCCTGTTTTCTCTCGGTGTGCGTTAACCCTCCATTACCGGTTTTGCTCAGGGTTCTGGCGTGCTCTTTTTGATTCATTGGTGACTTAGCATCTCCTACAGACGTACTGCCGTGAGTCACGAACACCGGTTATTCCCCACACGGCAGCATCTTTGGAACTGGGCGCTATTACAGCCAGGGGACAGTCAGCTGAACTGGTGGTTAAGTCAGCTTAACTTCTTTCTTAGATTTAGCAAAATAAATAACGGCACTGCTTACAATCAGAAGTGACTTAGACGAAGTGAAAGGGGGCTGCTTTTATTCTTTTGTGTGTCTACGTCCTGCCTTTCTCTCTAGGCTGGATCCTTCTGAGTTAAATGTGCATCTGACTGTTATTCCTCTTCATTTAAAGGACACGCTTTAGCTGGCAGGAGTGTGTACTGTTTCACTCTCCGCACCGCCCTACGTAACACTCCACGTGTGCAGGTGCATGGCCACACCTGCTGCCAACCGCTGTCAGATCGATTGGTGCCTCTGCCTCTCCCGGGCCCTCCAAACAGTCTCGGGGTAGTGGAGGAGGGCGTTCCTCAGTGGAGCCAGGACGGGGCATGTCAGTTTGTGAAATGTCAAGGCACAGAAACCTCTCTAGAACTTTCTTCTCACTTCTTCCTAAGGTCCCGTAGCTTCATCTCTCCCCTGCACTCATTTGGCTCCCCAGCTGCTTCTAAGAAATGAAGGGAATGGGTTGGTTCCATGGGACCTCAGTGGCAGCTTCCGGAGAATCTGATCAACGCTTTCTGTTACACAGCAGGGAAGGGCAGGGCCCAGGGCCGCTATGGATTAAGGCCTCCTTCAGAGACTCCAGGCAAGGCAGCTTCCTGGCTGGTGCTCTAACCTTGAGTCACCTCCTTAGAATCTGAAGAAGCAACTTGGCTGTTTCCAAAACAGTTGTTGGTTAGCAACAAGAGGATGAGGTCTCCCTGCCCTTCGTCCCCTGCAGGAGGGCTGACTGAAGGCTCCCTGATGCACTCCCTCCCCAGCCCCAGGGCCCTGCATCCACTGCTAGGATGGATCAATAGCGGATCTATTGCTCTCAAGGCTTCCAGCTTGTAGGAAATACCTCACCATCCCAGAAATGCTACGACTCTTGCCCCAGGTAGAAGGGAGCTGCGAGCATAGGTCACAGGGTACCTTTATGCTCTTAGTTTTCTAGGAGTCCACTACAATTGACTCGAATTACTTGGCCTGTGAGTATGAGGGAGGGTGCCTAGGGAGAGGAAGGGCATATCACTTTAAGATTTAGAAAGTTAAGTGAAGATATACTTTCATACTTTCCACCATTCACACACTCAACAAACATTTCCTGGGGCCAGTGTGGTGGAATAGTGGGTAAGCCTCTGCCTGTCGGCTGTAAGGGTCCCCGAAGGGAGACTCGGAGTTGATCTGTGGCACCCCAGACAGAAGGAGCCCAGGCACGAAATGTACAGGGAGCAGCAAGCAGTCGAGACTGTGTGGGTCAAAGAAGTGATGAAAGTTTATGTTGTAGAGATCTGGAATGCTACAAGACCTGGAAGAAGATCTTGGCTTTGGCCTGGCTCAGGCCAGCCCTGGCTGGCAGCCATTTGGAGAGTGAACCAGTGGATGGTAGATCTCTCTCTCTCTCTTTCTCTAACTCTGCCTTTCAAATAAATAAATGAATAAATAAAATCCTTTTAAAATTTTTTACTAAGCATCTACTCTAGACTGAGTACTATGCGTGGTGCTGGCTAAAACCCAGTTCATAGAACGGATCACAGTCTAGTGAAAGAGACAGATGGTAGACAGACACCCTCGGCATAATTTGGTCAATGTTATGCTAGGAGATAAGCACAGGATATCAAGAACAAAGAAACAGTGGTTGGGTTTGGAAGCAGAGCAGGGAAGGCTTCCCAGAGGAAGTGGGTGTTTAACAGGATTCAGAGGTAGGAAGGTGACAAAACGCGCCTCTCGTGGGGAGGGGCAGAAGCAGAAGGTCCCGTGGTACAGCCAGGGCCCTGCACGGCAGCCTGCGCAGCGGAGGCCCAGGGTGTCTGCAGGTGAGGAGCCAGAAGAGAATGCAGCTTGATAGTATGTGTGCTGCCCAAGCCAGCACAGGAGGGGCCGGACTTTAGGTGGGGTCTGAATTAGGGTCACACCATCGAGAGGCCGCTCATCTCCAGCGGTGTCACGTGATTGGGCTTTAGGGAGCAACCAGGACTGGTGGACGCCGCAGGTCAGGGCCTCACATGCATGTGGATAGACAAGGAAGCCCTTTTTGGAAAGGCAGCCACGCACATTTTCCATGATGCATTCCCTGGAGGTTAGGGGCAGGAGGCACTTGAGAGGGGAAGGAGAGCTAAGGGAAGTGTCGTTGCAGGGCCACTCTGTGGTGGCTTTGACGTGCCTGGATGTCTTAGGCCTACTCTTGGCCACCTGGCAAAACCATCCAGTGCCCTCTATGTGCAGGATCCCTCGCCCTGTAGCTTGGGACAGTAACAAAGAAACTGGTGCCCGCACCTCTGGTGGCACAGCCTCAGTGGCCAAAGGCAAAGGTTTGCGAATGCAACAGCTCTGGGTTTGGATTTTGGTTTTGCCACGTAGAGGTGTGCAGCCTTAGAGAAACAGCTTCACCTCCTAAGGAGAAGCCAGGGAACACCATTCCCATCTTACAAGTAGGAACCGGGAGTCATTTCCAAAGTGATTCCCACAGTGTAGACGGTGAAGGGAGAGCTGACTTCATGTGCGACATGTGACAGATGAGGCG